ATTTATTAAGCTGGGCATTTGATATTGGTAATCATTGTCTTGTTACTCTTTGTTATGAAAAGATAGTCATTGTGTAGAAGGCTTAGCACAGTTGATGTAGCCCCTTGTTTATGAGTGGTTAGAATTATTTGAGTTTTCATGCTGTTGCTACTCAGTATTCGACATGCAAGCTGTAGTAAAGGGGTTATTTAGACTCCACAAACCTTTTTGTCTCATTTTAGGTTTTGAAGTTTAGACCTTTTGAAACCACTTTTATCCAAAGTCAAACTTAAGAAACTAAGGTTATCTCTATAATAAATATATTGTTAGCAAAGGCAATTTTTTTCCTAGACATTGACTGCTTCACTTAGCAGCTCTTAAACCAATAGTCCTTTTTAGGATTAAAGACTATTACATGTAATTTTTTAAAGCCTCAGTATATTGTGGCATTTCTTGGCCCACAATAACTCCATAAATGCTTTCAGATGAACTTAATTTTTAAAATCTTTACAAATGCTTTGCTTCTGCTTAAGTATTTTACTGCTTTTCTTTACTTCTGTCTTTGAGGTCCATTATAAAATTCTTTTAATTGTTTAAATATCTCTTCTACCATTTATTCATTCAATTCACATTTATTGAGCACTAACCCTTTCTTATGTAATATGAAAACGTGCCTGCTGATAAAGCAGTTTCATCTTTGCTTGGGATGGTACCAACGTTTGAACATCAAGTAAACAGTTTTAGAAAGACCAGTATTTGCATATTGATATGTCAAATACGATGCTGTGTAACGGTACAAAAACTGAGTATTCCTAATCAGGGGATGTTGGAGATAGTAGAATAAATAAAGGCTATGTGAGTAGTCGGGGGACTTTGCTAAGTCCATATGTGGTATAAAGAAATACAACACTGCAGATTGAAAAAACTCTGACAATGCAGAATTGGTCATTTAGTATCCCTCACTTCCCAAGGCAATAGACTATTTGATGATTATGAACAAGCTTCTTTAATGCCCATCTTTATTCAAGCAAAGACTCAGAATTTAAAAAATTGTCTCAAGCTATTTCCTTCAGGTTGGATTGTGTGAAGCTGTTGTCTTCATCCCGCATTGATAAATGTCAAACATGTGAGTGTATTTTAATCACGATCCTCATATTGCTAAAAGTTGTGGCTGTGAGTTGGTGATACAATTGAGACAATTAACATTTTTAACCTTTTATTATGGGAAATTTCAAACACACACATAATAAATGGAATAGTGTAATGAGCCCCTCTGTGTCCATCACCCAGCTTAAAATATTATCAATATTCAGCCATTCTTGTTTTATCTTTGCTTCCACCGACTCACCAGCCCTACGCAATTATTATTTGTAGTATTTTTTTTTTTTTTGGCCGTATGCGGATTTCTCACTGTTGTGGCCTCTCCCGTTGCAGAGCACAGGCTCCGGACGCGCAGGCTCAGTGGCCATGGCTCACGGGCCCAGCCGCTCTGCGGCATGTGGGATCTTCCCGGACCGGGACACGAACCCGTGTCCCCTGCATCGACAGGCAGACTCTCAACCACTGCGCCACCAGGGAAGCCCTATTTGTAGTATTTGAAATGCTTTTTTGTGAGATATAATTTAAAGACATTGAAATGCACAAATCTTAGCTGTACAATTTTCACAAATAAGTACACCCTTGTAACTCCACTTATACCATGATCAGCAGTGGGATTTGTATCTGTTATTGTAGCTGCTGTAAATTCTGTAGGTATTCATAAGCAAGAGAGGGAAATGGTCCCTCAGTCTTCTCCCTGATGCTCAGACCTGGCAGTGGGATCTTATACACGGGCTTAGAGGACATTAGATGAATGAGCTTTTGCTTCTAAGCTAAAAGCTTTTTAATATCTTTTACATTATAGGTTCTGAAATATCCTCCCCTTGTGCCTCTTCAAGGTACAAGGAAGAGGAGATAGCTATCATGAACTGGAGGTGGGAGAAGCAGAAGAAGAATCTCCAAGTCCCATGTTAATCTTCAGGATTTTTCCTTTGTTTGGAAACTGACTGAAATTAAAGCCAAGTGATCTGTCTCAGGCTTTTACCTAAGTGAGAAAATATTTGCGTTTTCTTTGATCCTTTGTTTTTGATCCTTAGTAGCTTTACCCTACCCTTGGATTTTTCTAACCTCTTAATGAATCAGGAAATTGATAAAATTCTAATTTATCCTGGTATGTCTTAGCTGTGGTTGTTGAAGTGACATCAATGTGGTTGAGAGGCAAGTGAGACATAGAAGAATATCTGGGGCATATTAGAGGTGATAAGCAGTCGTGTGGCTTGAAAAAGTTCTACTCTGTCTGTCTTTCCTCCTTCTGGCTTTGTTTGGCTCAGCCAGTCCAAAATACAATCACTACTGATGAATAAGCCCTTAATTCTATACATTGGAGATACATGCAATATTTTTTCTTCTGCTGGTATTGGAAATTACAAACCAACACAGAAATATTTTAAAAATGAAGTCAGAATTCTTCACTTGTTGCCAAAAGATAGTTGCTTATTCATAGCCAGTGGCTATTTGCAAGGCTGATCATTATAATTCTGCACAAAACTGCCTGTATTCCTGTGTCACTCTTGAATAATCAAAATCCAGAGTTTCAATAAGGGTGCTCCTCATTTACAAGGTTAATTCCTCTAATAATGATGTCTACATTCTCACACACATTTCAGAGCTGAGAATTTATTGCATAGGACACAAATTCATTGGCTATGCAGTGTAAGTAACCTTATTAAGAATGCAGTGAGAGGATATACATTACTGTTCCGTTCGGTAGGAAGGTTAAACACAACAAGAAATTGAGACATTTACCGCTAAGTAGTCCAACTGATTTATTTTACTGTGCCTTTTTCATTTTGAGCCTTTTGAAGCACAGGCTGCCTGAGTACTCTGCCCTCATGCAGGCCTTCAGTTAGAAATTCTAAATTCTAGAGGGTGTGGGAACTGTCCCGGAGAACAAAGCCAGAGACTTTGTGTTAACCAAAGTTAGAATTGAGATAATGTTTCAGGTAAGGGTGAGTTGATAGTAAACCTGCTTTTTGTGCTGCAGGGGTTTTTGTTAGGATTCGATATAACATGATGGAGAATTTCTCCCTGCCGCTATCAACAAAACTCAGCTGATCTAGATCCAAGCAGTGACACAGCTCTAAGTAGAGACCAGAGCCAAGACAGCGCACGATATACTAACCCTTCAGCTATCTCCTATATAAGGTCTATATTTCCATTTCAACTAGAAATGCTGTGATAGAAGAAAGTTGTTCTGTACTTTTCTGCCTAGAGACAGCACCCAGTATAGTAGTGTGCCAGTAGGAAGAACTCCTCCAGCCAAGTGGTCTTCTGAGACACGAGATCACATTTTATATAACAGAAGGTACCATGTCAAAGCTGTAATAGTCTCAGAACCCTTCCCTCAAGGGCCACTTAGCTTTAGCCATATATACTTTTCTTAGTGCTTCAAACAACAAAATATTTTTAGGTATTTTTAGGAAGTTATCAGTGTCTTTCAAGCTAGTAACACTTGCTATAATAATTATTTACCTGAAAATGATAATGATTATAGATTACTATTTTCTGTATAACAAACATTGTAACTGGAGTTGACTTATGAGAAAAGCATTTAGTATTATGGTGATCCCCAAATAAGTATCATACTTATTTACCCTATAATCTGTATAAACTGTACATTTCTCTAAATAAATAGCTTATTGAGACCTACTCATTTGGCTTATTCTCTGGCTTGCAGGGAGAGGATGGAGTACATCTCTCTCTTTTACCCAGCTCCTCAAGGTTTTTGGCTTCCCTGATCCTATTCACACTTGTCCAATGATCAAGATGGTCTCTCAGTTTTCATTGTTAGAAATCTCTTCCTCATGGAAGCAGAATGTTTACTTTAGTTACTTCAATGTTTAAGTTAAATCAGATAGCCTTGTTGCCAACTCTCCGTTCAGTTGAAAGTTTGCCTATAATTTATAGTTGGCCCTCCTTATATGTGTTTTGGTTCCCCATAACCAAGATCCCACAGATCCATTGTGTAGTATTTACTATCAAAAATAAATCTGTGTATAAGTGGACCTAAGCTGTTCAACCTATGTTGTTCAAGGGTCAACTGTAATATGATTCACCTTATATGGATTTTGTGGTGCTGAGTTCTGTTCTAAACTTTTACTTGTCTGCCCCATCAGTGTGACAGAACATCTGTTCCCAATTCTGAATACTTTTTTAAAAGCCTGAACTGTTGGTGAAATAAAATTTCTCTTTTTTTTGCCTTGTTCAGCTTCTTTAAAAGAGGCCTGGGCTGGGGGTGAGAAGGTGTGGGTTCCATTTCTGCCCTGGCACTAACTAGCCCGATGGTCACATTGGGTGCTTAGTCCCAGTGGACCTCAGTTTTCTCTTTGTCAAATGAAGGGGTTGGGCTAATAATTTTTGATTCCTCCTAGCTCTAAGTTTCTCTACTCCACACGTTTTTTTTTTTTAATTATTTTAATCCTCATTAATTATACAATACTCATTAATGATGATCAACTGTCCCATTACGTTAAAAATACTAGAACTGAGTCCTAGAAATGTAAGCCTGTGAAGGGATCTGACAAAAATGCCTGGGTTTCTTAACATCATGGCTTGCTTTTATAATAAACATGATCGGGGGGCAGCCGTGGAGTTGTACACCATGAATCTCCCTGCAAGAAAGAACTTGTAGTTAGACAACCACCTCCAGCAGCAGGACCTCAGGAATGCTCTCAGTGTTTGATATGAGGCCAGTCTTCCCGGGTGATCCTCTGTACACTACATGAGAGTACTCTCCAAAGGGCCGTCTTTGCTCTGGAGCTCCCCATCAGGTTACCAAAGACGTTTTCAGGTTTGTAGCACTCCGAGGCTTTCTGTGCCCATTTCTGCTCTCTCCCTCCTTCCCTTTCCTTAGTGTCAGATCTTTGTTGTTCCTGAAAGCTTTTCCTGCTCACTTCTGCTTCTTCCGCTTTTGTTTTTCACAGGCACTGCCCACCCCTTACGCCTCAAGCCCAGTGGACCTCTTGCTCTTCTCACTTCATCTCAGCACCTCCTCCCAGAGGACCTGAACTGACACATCAGGGATCCATGCCACATTAGAGGTAAAAACAGATATACTGAAAGATACATTTTCAGGTTTATTTAAAAAACGCCTTTTTGGTTTTGTTTGTTATTTTGTTTTCTATTGATTTATAGTATTGTGTTAGTTTCAGGTGTACAGCAAAGTGATTTGTATATATATATATTTAGATTCTTTTCCATTATAGGTTATTATAAGATATTGAATATAGTTCCCTGTGGTATACAGTAGGTCCTCGTTGTTTATCTGTTATATATATAGTAGTGCATACCTGTTAATCCCATACTCCTAATTTACACACATCCCCCACATTTCCCCTTTGGTAACTAAAAGTTTGTTTTCCATGTCTGTGAATCTGTTTCTGTTTTATCAATAAATTAATTTGTATTATTTTTTAGATTCCACATATAAGTGATATCATATAATACTTGTCTTTCTCTGTCTGACTTACTTCATTTAGTACATATTCTCTGGTTCCATCCATGTTACTGCAAATGGCATTATTTCATTCTTTTTATGGCTACATAATATTCCATTTTATATATGTACCACATCTTCTTTATCAGTCATCTGTTGATGGACATTTAGGTTGCTTCCATGTCTTGGCTATTGTAAATATGCTGTAATGAACATTGGGGTGCATGTATCTTTTCAAATTAGAGTTTTCATCTTTTCTGGATATATGCCCAAAAGTGGGATTGCTGGATCATATGGTAGCTCTATTTTTAGTGAAAAGGGTCTTTGGTTACATTTCTTCTTTCCTTTCTATTTTCTTTCATGGAATTAAATACTTTTGAAACCGGTTAGGACTTAGAGAATGTAATTTCAACTTTTTGACTTTTGACAGATAAAGAATGAGAGAGATATGAAGTGAGTTGTCCATGAAGTGAGTTGTCCAAGGTCATAACTGGACTAATTAATAACATGACATTTTAGACCCTGTTTCATTGAAGAGGTATCAAGACAGATGAAGTGTCTCTAACCCCTCAGACCCGACCTCTTACACTTATAGTTTATTGTAACTCATGCAGTTGTTCGAATGCACATCCCAGCTTGACCAATGACTGACAGTGTGGTCCTCCTTGGTGGTGTCTTTTATAGTCAGAAATAAGGGCCTTACATGGGGGAGAAGATAATTTGAGTCATGAGGCTATTTTTTCTAAGCTGCTTTTCAGCCTGGGTGTGACTTAAGTCATAGAGGTCTCTCAAACCCCACATTCCTCCACTGTTAGTGACCAGAAAGGAGCATTAACATTTGAATGGGGTTTCAGAGGAGTTGTGGAAATTTGCGACATAGTAATTAGGAAGATAAATTTCTGTAGCAAGAGCAATATGAACTCATGAGGGTAAGTGGGTACAGAGCAATGGCAAACAGAAAAGCTCAGGGTTCTCTGCCAAGACCACATCAGCACAGAGTCCTGAAAGCAGCCAGGCTGGGCTGTAGATGGTAGAAATAGATGAGGCAGATTAAGTCAGAGCCAGGACCTGGACAGGGAGACGGTGTAACTACATCTGCCTTAGGAAGAGCCAGGTGTATGGGCCTGTGACTAGGGCAGTTACAGAAGGCCCAATGCTTAGGATTTAACACAATGTGGTCATCATAAAATTATTAATAATTTTGCTTTAAATTTGTATTTTGTAGTCAAAATCATCCCAGTGGGATGATGGAGCATGCACTGGGATCTTGGAGCCTCTACTCACACGTGGTCTTGCCTCCTGTCAGCTCCCCATGTTCCCACCTCCCCTGGTTGCATGTCTAGTAACCCACTCCCTTACTTCCACCCGGTGACTTCTGCTGCCCTCTGTTCCCTGTGGGGACTTAGGGATAGATGTGGAGAGGACACTTGTGAGGGTCTATACTTGCCCTGCTGGTATCCTCACTCCCAAGGGAGCAGAATGTTGAAAGCAAATGGAAATCACCATGACAGGGTGAGAGACTGCAAAACAGAAAAAGCTTTTTTTCCTTTCTTTTGAATAAGGAGTCCACATTTTTGCTTTGCACTGAGCCTGCAAATTATGTATCGAACCCTTGCCTCAGGCTTTCAAAAACATCTTTCATTGTAAGGGTTACAAATTAATAACAGCATCACCCTTTCCATATTGCTTTATATACTGTATAGTATATAATGTATATAGTATAATTATAAAGTATAACTATACATACAATGTAGTGATATTTAGGGTATCACTATTTTTCCAAGTCTTATTTCTCAGTTTTGTATATTCAGGAACTTGATTTTATTTTTCGCTGTAGGTAGAAACCTCTGGAAAACTGATCCATGTCTACTGAACTATAAGAGCCCTATAAATTAATCTGTTTTGAATTGCTAAGAGGTTGGAAATAGTGATATTGGGGTATCAGTGAATTTTCTTGTCAGAAGGTATATTTATTTGGGAAATCTGATGGTATAAAAAACTCAGACAAAAGTTATTTAGATGGAAGAGGAGCTTCAAGATGGTGGAAGAGTAAGACATGGAGATCACCTTCCTCCCCACAAATACATCAGAAATACATCTACATGTGGAACAACTCCTACAGAACACCTACTGAACATTGGCAGAAGACCTCAGACCTCCCAAAAGGCTCATGGTGCTCCAGCCAGGTGTCAGGGCTGTGCCTCTGAGGTGGGAGAGCCAAGTTTAGGACACTGGTCCAACAGAGACCTCCCAGCTCCACGTAATATCATACGGCAAAAATCTCCCAGAGATCTCCATCTCAGTGCCAAGACCCAGCTTCACTCAACGACCAGCAAGCTACAGTGCTGGACACCCTATGCCAAACAACTAGCAAGACAGGAACACAACACCACCCATTAGCAGAGAGGCTGCCTAAAATCATAATAAGGTCACAGACACCCCAAAACACACCACCAGACGTGGACCTGCCCACCAGAAAGACAAGATCCAGCCTCATCCACCAAAACACAGGCACTAGTCCCCTTCACCAGGAAGCCTACACAACCCACTGAACCAAACTTAGCCACTGGGGGTAGACACCAAAAACAGCGGGAACTATGAATCTAAAATCTGCAAAAAGGAGACCCCAAACACAGTAAGTTAAGCAAGATGAGAAGACAAAGAAACACACAGCAGATGAAGGAGGAAAGTAAAAAACCACCAGACCTAACAAATGAAGAGGAAGTAGGCAGTCTACGTGAAAAAGAATTCAGAATAATGATAGTAAAGATGATCCAAAGTCTTGGAAATAGAATGGAGAAAATACAAGAAACGTTTAACAAGGACCTAGAAGAACTAAAGAGGAAACAAACAATGATGAACAACACAATAAATGAAATTAAAAATTCTCTAGAAGGGATCAATAACAGAATAACTGAGGCAGAAGAACGGATAAGTGACCTGGAAGATAAAACAGTAGAAATAACTACTGCAGAGCAGAATAAAGAGAAAAGAATGAAAAGAATTGAGGAGAGTCTCAGAGACCTCTGGGATAATATTAAACGAACCAACATTCGAATTATAGGGGTTCCAGAAGAAGATGAGAAAAAGACAGGGACTGAGAAAATATTTGAAGAGATTATAGTTGAAAACTTCCCTAATATGGGAAAGGAAGTAGTTAATCAAGTCCAGGAAGCACAGAGAGTCCCATACAGGATAAATTCAAGGAGAAACACACCAAGACACATATTAATCAAACTATCAAAAATTAAATACAAAGAAAATATATTAAAAGCAGCAAGGGAAAAACAACAAATAACATACAAGGGAATCTCCATAAGGTTAACAGCTGATCTTTCACCAGAAACTCTGCAAGCCAGAAGGGAGTGACAGGACATATTTAAAGTAAGGAAAGGGAAAAAACTACAACCAAGATTACTCTGTCCAGCAAGGATCTCATTCAGATTCGATGGAGAAATTAAAAACTTTACGGCCAAGCAAAAGCTAAGAGAATTCAGCACAACCAAACCACCTTTACAACAAATGCTAAAGGAACTTCTCTAGGCAGGAAACACAAGATAAGGAAAAAACCTACAATAACAAACCCAAAACAATTAAGAAAACAGTAATAGGAACATTCATATCGTTAATTACCTTAAATGTAAATGGATTAAATGCTCCAACCAAAAGACATAGACTGGCTGAGCGGATACAAAAACAAGACCCGTATATATGCTGTCTACAAGAGACCCACTTCAGACCTAGGGACACATACAGACGGAAAGTGAGGGGATGGAAAAAGATATTCCATGAAAATGGAAATCAAAAGAAAGATGCAGTAGCAATTCTCATAGCAGACAAAATAGACTTTAAAACAAAGACTATTACAAGAGACAAAGAAGGACACTACATAATGATCAAGGTATCAATCCAAGAAGAAAATATAACAATTGTAAATATTTATGCACCCAACATAGGAGCATCCCAGTACATAAGGCAAATACTAACAGCCATAAAAGGGGAAATTGACAATAACACAATCATAGTAGGGGACTTTAACACCCCACTCTCACCAGTGGCCGGATCATCCAAAATGAAAATAAATAAGGAAACACAAGCTTTAAATGATACATTAAACAAGACGGACTTAATTGATATTTATAGGACATTCCACCCAAAACGACAGAATACAGTTTCTTCTCACGTGCTCATTGAACATTCTCCAAGATAGATCATATCATGGGTCACAAATCAAGCCTTGGTAAATTTAAGAAAATTGAAATTGTATCAGGTATCTTTGCTGACCACAGCGTTATGAAACTAGATATCAATTACAGGAAAAAAATCTGTAAAAAATACAAACACATGGAGAATAAACAATACACTACTTAATAACCAAGAGATCACTGAAGAAATCAAAGATGAAATCAAAAAATACCTAGAAACAAATGACAATGAGAACACGATGAGCCAAAACCTATGGGATGCAGCAAAAGCAGTTCTAAGAGGGAAGTTTATAAAAATAAAATAAAATCCTACCTTAAGAAACAAGAAACATCTCAAATAAACAATCTAACCTTACACCTAAAGCAATTAGAGAAAGAAGAACAAAAAAAACCCAAATTT